TATATGAAAATCAACACATGTTGTGTATACAGTATAATAATATACTCCATTATATAACTGATGACAACGAATAAAATATTAAGACTATAGAAACGAATGACCGTTGACAATTGGACATAAATCCAAACGAAGAGTTGTCGAAAAAATTCACTTTATTTTCTGTTCTTCTTATTTCTCGACCTCTGAGCTAATACTATATTTTAGACTTTCAACTTGACTTTGTATAGAAATAAACTCAAATCACAATAATTTTGTGCATATTATGCTGTGCATTTAAATTAAACAAATGCAAGGTTGTTGGACTAACTTCAAGTCGGTTCAATAATTAACATTAAAATAGCATGCGACCTTATTGGATATTTGAGCCGATTCAATTCAAATTTACATTTTCTCTTGTTCCTTATTAGAAAATTGGACATATACATTTGAATTATAATATTACCCTTATGTTCGGTCGTATTATATTGATAAATTATTCTAAATTCCTTAACTTCCTCTGATAAAAACAAACGGTTTAGGTGCACTTCTAAATTTTGAATAGTTTAAAATTTAATTTAGAGGTTTATCTGTAAAAATAAACACAAAGATAATCTGCCTCTCACCTACTTGATAGTAATGTTTTTGTTAGGTCTCCTCATAGACGTCGCTTTACCAATTAATTACCACTATAATTTAAATTTGTACAATATTTATCATAATTTGATTTAATGTCACATTATGTCAAGTAATGTGAGCTAGGAACCACAAATCAAAAAGAAACGGGTTAAGCAAAAGTTAAAACACTATCACAGAAAATTAATACTGTAAAATGTAAAAAATCCAATAGTTTGTATATATCATATCTACATGTGATTGCAATAAATTATTGCTTTACACATGGATTTATTTTTACTGATATCTTAAAAGATACTATTAAGATATATTATATATAAACTTTTAATGTTCAAAATAGATACTTTTTCCCCGAAAAAGTGATAATCTCATAATTCATTTGATAGAAAATAGTTTGTAATGACATACGAAAGGAAAATATTATTTCCAAATTCGAGAAAAGCTGTAATCACGCCTTGTGTTTAATTCTCAACAATCACATTTAAAATATTTTATTAAATTCAATTCAACGGTAGAGATATTGCCACGTGTTACGAACTTCCTTCCGACCAGGTCGCATCGTCCGTATGAAAAACACCGTTTTAAATTAATCCAATCATATAAAGCCGCGTGCATTAAATAAATCCGTCAATCTTTTATAAACACCGTTTTAGTAATTTAAAAATTTGTTAAAAAAATGTACGACAATTTTTT